ACTCTGTATCTAACGCTGTACTGTCCCTGGGAGTGTTTGATGGGGGGTGGGGGAAGTGTAGAGGCAGCTTTACTCTGTATCTAACGCTGTACTGTCCCTGGGAGTGTTTGATGGGGGGTGGGGGAAGTGTAGAGGCAGCTTTACTCTGTATCTAACGCTGTACTGTCCCTGGGAGTGTTTGATGGGGGGGACGGTGTAGAAGGAGCTTTACTCTGTATCTAACCCCCTGTCCCTGGTGAGTGTTTGAAGGGGGGGGAACGGTGTAGAGGGAACTTTACTCTATATCTAACGCCCTGTCCCTGGTGAGTGTTTGATTGGGGGGGACATTGTAGAGGAGCTTTACTCTGTATCTAACCCCCTGTCCCTGGGAGTGTTTGATGGGGGGGACATTGTAGAGGAGCTTTACTCTGTATCTAACCCCCTGTCCCTGGGAGTGTTTGATGGGGGGGGACGGTGTAGAGGGAGCTTTACTCTGTATCTAACCCCCTGTCCCTGGGAGTGTTTGATGGGGGACAGTGTAGAGGGAGCTTTACTCTGTATCTAACCCCCTGTCCCTGGGAGTGTTTGATGAGGGGGATAGTGTAGAGGGAGCTTTACTCTGTATCTAATGCTGTACAGTCCCTGGGAGTGTCTGATGCGGGGGGAGTGGGAGACACAGAGTGGCCCACAGAGACTGGAACTATTTTATTTCTGTTTCCTCCCCCACCCCCCCCCCGACTTTTGCAGGTTACTCATGCATCACATCAGAGACTGCCTGCCTGAGCTGAAAACCAAGGTCAACGTGCTGACCGCTCAGTACCAGTCCATGCTGAACAGCTACGGGCACCCTATCGAGGACCACAACGCCACATTGCTGCAGATCATCACCAAGTTTGCCACCGAGTACTGCAACACCATCGAGGGCACGGCCAGGAACATCGAGACTTCTGAGCTGTGAGTCTGCCTCCCCTCCCTGGGGACGTGTGCGGTGCGCCCTTTGGACACAGGGGATTGGGGGGGGTGCCAAAATCTGGCATTAGCGCTTATGGCCGTGAGCCATACAGTCACGGAAACACACCCTTTTTGGTCTGACCCATGCATCCTAATCTGACCCAGTCCCATTTGCCAGCATTTGGCCCCTGTCCCTCTAAACCCTTCATATCCACGTCCCCATCCTGATTCCTTTTAAATGTTGTCATTGTACCAGCCCCCACCCACTTCCTCTGGCAGCTCGTTCCACACACGCACCACCCCCCGCCTGAAAAAGTTGCCCCTCAGATCTCTTTCCCCCCCCCTCTCACCTTAAACCTGCCCCCCTCTAGTTTTGGACTCCCCTACCCCTTGCCTATTCACCCTTTCCATGCCCCCCATGGTTTTATAAACCTGTATAAGGTCACCCCCTCGGCCTCCGACGCTCCAGGGGGAAAATAGCCCCAGCCTCTCCCTGTCGCTCAAACCCACCAACATCCTTTTCCGAACCCTTTCCCAACATCCTTCCTGCAGCAGGGAGACCGGAACTGAACGCAGTATTCCCAAAGTGGCCTCACCAATACAGCCGCAACATGACCCTTCCAACTCCTACACTCAACGCACTGACCAATAAATGATGTGGAGGTGCTGGTGTTGGTTTGGGATGGAATAAGTCACAAGCCATGACGCCAGGGTATGTTTATTTGAAATCGCAAGCTTTCGGAGCGCTGCTCCTTCGTCAGGTGATGTCCCTTTGCATCCAGCGGCGTTTCAGAGATTCTCAATTAATTACAGAGTTGGAAGTCCGGTCTTGTGAGCTGTAACGGAGAGAGGGAAAAGATAGTTTCTACTTCAAGCCCACAACAGCAGCTGATTAAGGCTAGGTCTCAAAACCTTTTCACATTAAAACAAAAGCTGGAAATCTTTCTGTATTTTTTTCCTTTATGGGTCACTAGTGAGGCAGCATTTATTGCCCATCCCTAATTGCACAAGAGGGCAGTTAAGAGTCAACCACATTGCTGTGTGGGTCTGGAGTCACATGTAGGCCAGACCAGGTAAGGATGGCAGTTTCCTTCCCTAAAGGACTTTAGTGAACGAGATGGGTTTTTCCGACAATCAGCAATGGATTCACGGTCATCGTTAGATTCTTAATTCCAGATTTTCTTTATTGAATTCAAATTCCACCATCTGCCATGACGGGGATTCGAACCTGAGTCCCCAGAGGGTTATCTGGGTTTCTGGATTAACAGACCACTGATAATACCACGAGGCCACTTGCCTCCCCAAACGACACTAATTGTTTTAACCAAACAGTACTGTTTTAACCAAACGGGACTAATTGTTTTAACCAGTAACAAAAGTCAGTGGTTCGTTGATACAGGTTTTGACTCTGTCTCCCTGAGCCGAAACCTGTTGTCAAGTTCGGTGACCAGACGACAGAGCGTTAGCTCGGTACAGGTCTGGGACTGGATCCTGGGCCTCTCCGGTGTAAACCTCGCCCTGGGCTAACTCGAGGCTGTGTTTACTGGCAGGTGCGGAGGGGCCCGGATTTGTTACATCTTTCACGAGACGTTCGGACGGACGCTGGAATCCATAGACCCTCTGACGGGGCTGACCACGTTGGATGTGCTGACGGCGATTCGGAACGCTACGGTACGGGGAGGCGCGGGGTGGGGGTGGGTGCAGGGGTTGGTGGCTGCCCTGTAACGAGACAGCCGTAGAACCACACAGCACTGAAACAGACCCTTAGGCCCAACCCATCCATAACCCCAAACTAAACTAGTCCCATGCGTGCCTGCTCCTGGCCCATATCCCTCCAAACCTTTCCCATCCATATACTTATCCAAATGTCTTGCAAACGTTGTATCTGTCCCCACATCCACCACTTCATCCCACACACAAACCTGTGTTTTAAAAACAATTTGCCCCTCGTGTCCTTTCTAAATCCTTCTGCCCTTGTGTTTAAAAATACACCCCCTAGTTTTGAAATCCCCTGCCTTAGGGAAAAGGCACCCACCGTTTACTTTATCCAAGCCCCTCATGATTTTATAAACCTCTATAAGATCACCCCTCAGCCTCCTACGCTCCAGTGAAAAAAGTCCCAGCCTCCCCTTGTAGCTCAAACCCTCCATTCCCGGCTACACCTGGTATATCACAACCTGAGCCCTCTCCTTCCGAAAACGGGGAGAGCAGAACTGGACACAATACTCCAGAAGAGTGGGCGGCACGGTGGCTCAGTGGTTAGCACTGTTACCTCACAGGGCTAGGAACCCGGGTTCAATTCCACCCTCTGGTGACCGTCTGTGTGTGGAGTATCTCTGTGTCTGCGTGGGTCTCCTCCCGCCATCCAAAGATGTGAAGGTTAGCTGAATTGGCCATGGGAAACGCAGGGTAATAGGATAGGCGGGTTGGGTTTGGGCGGGATGCTCTTCGGAGGGTCACTGAAAACTGAATGGGGAGGCCTCACCAAAGTCCTTGTACAACCTCAACGTGACGTCCCCAACTCCCAACACTCAAGGGGTCTGAGCAATGAAGGCAAGCGTGCCAAACACCTTCTTCCCCACCCTGTCTACCTGTGACGCTAACTTCAAAGAATTATGCCCCTGAGCCCCCTCGGTCTCTCTGTTCTACAACACCACCCCAAGGCCCTACTTTTAATTGTATAAGTCCTGCTCCTTGTTTGTTTTAGCAAAATGCAACACCTTGCGTTTATCGGAATTAAACTCCACCTGCCCCTCCTCGGCCCGTTGACCCAATGGATCGAGATCCCTTTGTAATCTTAGAGAAACCTTCCTCACTGACCACTACGCCCCCGATCCTGGTGCCATCTGCAAACTTACTAACCATGCCCCCTGTATCCTCATCCGAATGGGGATGTGAGCTCAGTTCGAGCCAGTGTACTCTGTGTCCGGTTTATAAATTGGGAAGGCGCGGAGGATGTCCCCATCCAGACCACCATCACCACCGCCCCTACCCTGCCCCACGTGACTCCAGGCGCAGGTAGGAGCCGCCGGGATGGCCGGAGTGGGATACCGTGTCCGAGGGCGGCTGAGGGATGGTCCCCGGGTCTGCCCGAAGGGGGGGGGGGAGGGGGGGGGGAAACGCGTGATCGAGTGCATCGCCTCCTGTGTTACTGAGACCTGCCTTCGCCACCCCACAGGGCCCGCGGCCTGCCCTCTTCGTCCCCGAGGTGTCCTTCGAGCTGCTGGTCAAGCGGCAGATCAAGCGTCTGGAGGAGCCGGGCTTGCGCTGCGTGGAGCTAGTCCATGAGGAGCTGCAAAGGATCATACAGCACTGTACGACATACAATACGCAGGTAATACGCGAGCCACCACCACCGCCCCCCCCAACAATGCTGGAGTTTGGTAGTGCTGTGGGGGGGTGGGGTGAGACGAACACTGGGCCTACAGAGCCTGGATGACATAACAGCACTGTGCGGGCAACATACCGGAACACAACAAATCTTTAACGGTTTTATCAAAAAAAAAACGAAAAGAACTGCAAATCGGGAACAAAAACAGAAGTTGCCAGAAAAGCTCAGCAGGTCTGGCAGCATCTGTTAACTCTGTGCTTTTCCTACACAGATGCTGCCAAATCTTCAATGGAGCCTGGGGTTGTGCGTGTGAGGGGGCGCGGTGTGCGCGCGTGAGGGGGGCATGGCGCGGTGTGCGCGCGT